ACAAGTGTGTCTAGCTGTGAATGGTCACAGTCCATCTGCGTCATGTGATTTAGCCATGGCTAATCACAACAAAATATTCTGAATGAATCGATTTTTTTTTTTTAGTTAAATGCTTGCTTATAGCAAAAAAATTCTTTTGCTATAAGCAAATTGTGTAAAAAAAAAACCAAAAAACCCCCCCCCCCCCAAAAATGATCACTTCCCCAAAGTAGTACAATGTTACTATGGTAACGTTATACTGCTTTGGTCATAGTGTAATATGAAAAAAAATCTTGAGGAAAAAATTAATAAAAATAAATAATAAAATCAAAAAAATTGATTATCCATTTTTTTTTCTTTTTTTTTTTTTCCATACTGTCACCAGTTAGTGTCCCTGATCACCGCCATATCAGTTATATGATAATGCTATTTTCCAAAAGATTGTCAAAAAAATTCCAACTTCAAAAAACTCTTATGAAATACGTTGGATTGTCTACTTTGCAAAAAGGGGTCATTTGGGGGATATCTGTACTGTTCTGACATTTTTGGGTCTCAAGAAATTAGATTGGCTACCATTCAGTGCCACTCCACAGAACTTCAAGATTGATCAGTTTTCAGATATAGTTTGGCGAAAATAACCCAAATCGGTATTTATTATTTAGTCTGTAGGAAAGTTAGAGTTCACAAAGAAATGTAGCAGAATACATCTTGGCTTAAATTTATGAACAATTATTTGCAAGCTTTTATAACAGAAAAAGTGTTGCATGACCCCGCAATTGTCATTCAAAGTGTGAGTGCTGAAACCTGAAATTTGGCCTAGGCAGGAAAGGGGTAAAAGTGCACGGTATTGAACTGGTTAACCGTAAACAAGGTAAATAGAGAGGGTGAATCTCCCTAAAGGAAAAAAAGTAGTTTTGTCTTTTTTAGTTTCTACTACTGAAATGCTATTGAATTCATAGTATACCTATTTTTTTTCTCTTATTAGATGATTCTCAATGCATGCTTTGTGACAAGCCTGGTGACCTCACAGATCTCCTGTTCTGCACTAGCTGTGGTTTGCACTATCATGGCTCCTGTCTTGATGTCACAGTAATGCCACTGAAACGCTCTGCTTGGCAGTGTCCTGAGTGTAAAGTGTGCCAAACATGCAGGTAATGTTTGAATTAAAGCTGTCTGTCTTGCTACCTGTCCAGAGGATGTCCAGTTTGCCAAGTACATAAAGACTTGGCTTTGCAGTCCAACTCCAGGGAATGTGGAAATTCTTCTTGCAGTGGAGCTGCACCTGCATTGCAAAGTTAACTTCTTGTTCATTCTAGGGGAGAGTATTGCACTTTTACTTATCTGATCCTCTGCTTCCCTCAGCAGTTGGCACTCCCCCTGTGCTTCAGCGGTGGTCTTTCCCTCAGCCTCATGTCCAGTGCAGTGCTATGAACCCTGCATCGGTCTTGATGAATTCAGGATCTTAGACTGTTTGAGCATGGGGGAGAAGACTCTGCATGAACTAGTCTTGCAACAAGAAGTAAATAAATAAATCTTATTTTCTATGCTCCCTAGATCCTAAACTACCAGTCAACCCTTTCAGTGCAGGTGCAGGCCCATGGCAAGAGTTTTTCTGCTGTTCAACTTTAAGAGATTTGAATGAGCTGTTAGTGCTGGTTCAAACCATGGATTGTTGAAATATGGAAACTGTAGGGAAGTACTACATGAAGGTTTTCTACTAATAGCACATGCCTGTGAAATTTCCAGTTTTTTTTTTTTTTTTTTTTTTTTTTTTGTTTCATATGAAATTGTCATATTAGGTTCGAGAAGTAAGCCTACAAATCTTTTATTTGGTTGCACTGCAAACGTGGAAACCCAAATTTCACGTTTTTGGAAAGCTTCTAGTTTGTGCCTCATATGTTTACACACAATTTTCTTCATGATGGATATGGTCTTAAAGCCAACCAAACGCCACCCAAAAGGGGAAGTTCTGCTTGCCTGCCCCGCCCCCCCCCCCACTGCAACATTTGGCACCTTTTTGGGATGGGCAGGGAGAGAGAGGGTACATGGTTTTGACAGGTATCTGCTCCCACTTCCAGATCAGATTGCCGTGGAGATCTAAGCCAGAAGGGTACCCCCACAACCCTTGCAGCCTCCCAGAAGACGATTACCCATTTACAAAGCGCAGTGCAATTCATGCATGTAAAGTAGGAAACCAGCTGTGAAGCCGCAAGGCTTCACTTCTGGTTTCCCTTAAGATGGTGGCACCAGCACCCGAAGCCAAGTGACCCCTGGACCTTTAAAGGCTCTTGTATTAAAAGACAGCAGCTACAGTATTTGTAGCTTCGGACTCAATTTGTTGGGGAGACCGGAGTGCCACTTTAAGTTCTTTGAAAGCCTTAATACTTTAATTGTTCTGTATGTGTGACCTGGCTATAAAGGATGTTTATAATAATAATAAAAACAAAGTGACAACTTTCTCCTTGACAGGAAACCTGTTGAGGATTCCATGATGTTGGTGTGTGATGCCTGTGATAAAGGGTATCACACTTTTTGTCTGAAGCCAGCCATTGAGGATCTGCCAACAGGTTCATGGAAATGCAAGGTAATTTTAGCTTTTGTATCCCATGCTCTAGCAGCGCTTTGCTTCAGCATTTAATGGATATTTCAAAGTTGTTTATGGTATTTGATGAGCAGTTTAAACACGTTTTGATACGACTCTTGTGATCCTCTTTATTAAGGCGGTAGAAGTGTTAGCTGATCTAACCTATTTATTGATCATTTGCTCATGACAATGAGACTACGCTTCATGTATGCAATCTCTGTTCAGAATTGTAGGGTATGTCGCAGCTGTGGTTGTTGGGCTTCACAGATGGACCCTGGTAGTCAATGGTATGAGAACTATTCTGTGTGCAAGAAATGCCAAGAGCAAAGGAGTCAATCACTGATATGTGTACATTGTAATCAGTCTGGCTTATTGGAGAACATGCGCCAGTGCTCTTCATGCTCTAAGTAAGTGATTCCACTATGTGTATCCATTATCAAAGTTTCTTTTGTTGCTGAATATTGTCTGAAAGAGTACACACAAAATATATTTATAGTGATTTTTACCATATACCTTTTTATATTGTGTTTGCTTTTTTGGGTGCTTTCATTATCAAACTGCATTGCAGATCATCCTGAACTATTTATCTTGCTTTTCCTTATTTTAAAGAAAAAAAACTCTTTATATGAGTAACCTTTATGCAGCTCTTAAGTGTTTGTGCTTGTTGTACTTCCAGGTTCCATCATATACATTGTATACAAAGGTCTGGCTCTCTAGTACCCATTGTAAACTGTCTGGCATGTATTAGGCAGAAATCTGTCGAACAAAAGAAGGACGAACAGGACAAGAGCAGTGAGATACAGGACACGGCCCTATCGGAATGTGAAGCCAAACCACTAGGTTAGTAAACAGACCTGAATTTCAACTTTTATATTTGCATTGGTTTAATGAAAACTTGTATACATTACCATTGCTGACCTCCTGCTTCTGAGCACACTAACTGTTGGGTTGTCATGCAGTAGGTTCAGTATTTGAGTCATTGATGAGGAATATTCATGCAGATCTGTATTTGTGATTACCATTCTCAGCTTGTTTTTGTTTTCAGTGAGTGACTCCGAAAACGTTGACATAAAAGACAGCCAGGCCCTAGGACGTTCAAAAGGAAGTCGGCAATGTTAGTCTACATATTTTATTTCCGTATAGATTTTTTAGTTTATGAAGCATTTCAGGAAGCTATGTATAATGGAGAGTTGCCACACCACCATCCTCTATTAGGAAAATATTTAAAGTATAGCTGAAGGCAGAACTCTTTTAGCGACCGTGTATACGGTGGGAAGGGATTAGAACCCATGTCAGGTTTTTATTGCAGTATGTGCCCGTTAGCGAAATTCACCCTCTTTGTAATGTTTACAATTGTTATCAAAAGTGAAATGAAAAGAAAATCCCACATTTTTGAGTTGTCCCTAGAACAGTAATAGCGGGTAACCTTTTCCAATTGGGGACACTGGTTCACATGACACTGGTGATAACCATGTATTCTCTTTGCTTGGAGGGATTTTCTCTGACTTCCTGGTTTTGTTTTTTTTTTGTTTGTTTTGGTTTTTTAAACCGGAAGTGAAGGGAAATCTCCTCAATAGAATGCAGATGGTAAAAAAAGACTTCCCTAACTCTATCCAAAATAAGAGTTTTTTCCTTTTTAGCTCTTTGATTCTGAAAACATGTACATGGGTTAAAAGGCTTACACATCTAATAAGACATGCCTTAGGTTTTCCATTAAAGATGCATAGATTTGGTCAGGTTGGAAAAGTAACCGAAATGGTTTTGCCCTAAGTATTTATCAGCAGTTATACTAATCATTGTGTATAGATTATGCTATATTGGTCAAAAATGTGTATGTTTAATGACTCTACAAAACAAGAAATTTAATGAGGTTTGTGTAATTTATGTAGATGTTTTAACACCAGAAGAAGATGAGCTGGGCACCTCCGACAATGAAGCAGCAGAGGCTCCAGAGATGCTTCCTGATACTCCATTACTGCTAACTGAATTCAGAAGTCCACCACCACTGGAGGCAGAGGCATCACCTCAGGAGAGGATAATAGATACTTGTCCATCGCCTGAGGAGGCTCCTGTACTAGTGACAGTGGAAGATGAAGATATGGAGGTTGAGGAAGAAGGCCTTAGTGAAACACAAGCAGTAACATCAAATGTAAAATTAGTTTCACCAAATCCACCTCTTAAGACTTCATCATCAATACCTTCAGTCCCTGATAGGACTCGGGTAGATACCTCAGAAACTGAGGATATACAATTTATGGATTCTGGGAGTGCAGACTGTGGGACTTCCTACAGTCCTACAAGGACAAAAGAGGATAACTTGAGTAGTGTTTCAGAGCAGCCATCTGCTTTGGATTCTGAAATGATTGTGGACTCTGAAGAGCCTTTTAAGACTGAGACTGAAGAAATAAGTATTGATTCCACAGTAGGTCATGAGGATATTGGGGACTTTTCTACTGGCAAATTTCATACTCCTATTAGATGCACTATCATAAAGTCAGACATTGTAAATGAGATTTCCAATCTGAGCCAAGGAGATACTACCGGTAGCTATCATGGCTCAGATGCTTTATGTTCACCTGACCCTGAGGGCGGGTCCCTCTCTATGGATATGTGCTTGCATAAGGAAGATGGGTCCCTGAGGCTGTGCACAGACTCTATGCCAGAGACTGATGACTCCCTGATTTATGATCCTTCTGTTGGGAAACTGGATGGAGAGAAGTCACGTCGTAAGCGTTCTCCAGGACGGTCAAGAGTAAAACATGTAAGTTGGAGGACATCCAGGCAAATGTATACATACAGGGTGCAAGAACATGTATAAAATGCGGGGGGGGGGGGGGGGGGGGGGGAGGAGGAAATTACCCATCTAACACACATCTGTTCTTGTGATATACACAGCAGGATCATTCTGCTGCTTGAGGAGTTTAGTGTTACTGAGTCGGCTATTTGCTGGTTTGACAGAGGTGATCATGCTGACTAATTTTCTGAGGAAGCAGATAGGTGACTGAGCATCTGAATTGCTGAACCAATAAGAGGAGTTACTTACTGACCCATTTACCACAATATTAATTGCATACCTGCTGAAAGAAGGGTAAATATTTACCTTTCTGCTGGTACTGCTGCTTTCCGTTTTCTGCAACTTTTTGACTATTTGGGTAGGTCAACTACATGTCTGGGTGTTCAGTGTTTCTTACTCTTGCTCACTGTACTGTATCTTTGTTTGGATTACACTACACCTCTTTCCTTATCTCCATAACATTAGGAGTTCTGTAGTTCACAGAAGGGTTCACTGGGTAGGGCTGCAGTGTATAAGACGTAGTAGAGCTCTGAATTTGTTAGGGGTCAGTGGGTATTTTTATACACATATTGAAAAGATACAGAAAAAAACTCTTTTTAGTTATAGAACGGAATAGGGCGTAAATTAAGAGTTTTGGAACATTTATGTACTTATCAGACCATACTTGTCCATAGTCAGTGACTCACTTTAGCAAAAGATGGATGGATAAAGAGGACAGCCCTTAATGTGTTAAGTGTAATTATTCCTTTTCAGTAAAAATGAAAAGATGAACACACACCCTTTCACAATATGTGGTTACCTCTTATTTGTACACAGCAAAGCCATGAGATAAATAAGTTAGACCTTTTATATTTAGCAAAACGTTGCATATGATTTCCTCGTACAAGAACGATCACTGGAACACTTGATTGAGCATGATATGGTTTATATAGATGTCCATTTGACTTTTTTTTTCCCCCTAAAGTTAGACTTCTTTATTATACATTTTAAGGGATAAGTTCACCTTTGGGAACAAATTCTATGTTCCACCTGTTTATAGGGTGGAACATGTAACATATTCCCAAAGCTGTCGCTGCTGCCTGATTTACCCCCTGCCTGGAAGTTTAGCCATGCCCCCCCTTTCCAGTGAGCGTAGTACGGGAGAAGGTTCCCCCTCTGCACATACGGCCTCGCCATTCATTCTCCGTGTTCTGTGGATGAATGGATTACAAATCCCCACAGCCTTAGTGGCTGTCTGCTTGTAGTTCTCAATGAACTACCACGGTGCTGTGGAGCGCCGTGGTACTTTATTGATTCTTCCTGTCAGTATATCTGCTTTGCCCGTAGATCCCATATGGGCAAGCAGATATACTGACAGATCTGCATGGCACCAGCGGTCTGATGATTGCTGGTGCAATGGTTTACAGGCTCCTGCAACCAGGAATAATAAATGCCTTTTTTTTTTTTTTTTAACCTGCAAAAAAATTAGCATTTATTATTTTTGGTGAAAAGGTGAACTTCTTCTCCTTTAAGTGCTCATATAGTACCAAGTTAAGGTGAGAGGGCTCAGAGGCAAAAGGAAATAGTCAGGTATAGGGTGTCCAGGTGGTAGAGAAAAGACAGGGAGATGGTGCGCAGTGGCGATTTACCAACTGTAGGCCATATACAAATGGGGCCCAGCCATTAGAAGATCGTTATATTCTTAGGAGCACATAAACTCAGTCCAATAAAACTATCTGCAGCTACCTTCGTTCTTCCTCATGGATAAATGCAAATCACTGCAATGAACTAAAAGTGTATCCCTGGGCCCAGATGGCCTGATCTGCCTTTACTTCAAAATGTTCCAGGAGATTCCTGCTCATTTTAATGGATTTTTAGGTGACAAAACCATTTTTAATGGTTTTTCTTGAAAGGGAAAGACGCCTCCAATTGTACTAGTTACCAGCTTATAGCATTACTAAATTCAGATCTTAGGATACTTGGCAAGATTTTGGCCAAATGACTGCTTTGCGTTCTTTTGAGCTCTTATTTATAAGGATCACTTGGGTTTCCTTCATTTTTTCATCAGGCATGTGACAATATGCGTAGGGCCATAGATTACATCTCTATAAACAGGGTAAAGAAAGTGTAGTTCTTAGCCTTGATGCTGAAAAGGCCTTTGATCGCCTTGGCTGGCCCTTTTTTTTAACACTCCCAATACATTGGTATTAAAAGACCTCTTCTACAGGTCATTCAGGCTCTGTATTCTGCACTTTGTTCTTTCAGATTGAGAACAAAATTAGACAGGAATGAAACCAGTCCCCCCAGGTGTTTGTCCTATGCATTGAGCACCTGGCTGCTACTATTGGCAGTGCTCTTGATATTTAGGGGGTTGTCATCCATACCCGCTCCTTCAAACTGTCTCGTGATACTACTAGATTTTCGCAGAGTTATACTGTAAGAGAGGCTTATCACTCCCTGTATACCGCATATTCAAGGGGTGTGTCTATTTTGGTGTATAAGGGCGTGTCGTTCTCGTGTAGTAGGACCTTGGTGGACAGAAACTGCAAATATGTTTTCCTCCAGTCCAAGATATGATTTTGAATTGATACTTGCTGCTGTGCATATACCCCCCCACCCCTTTATAGTTGAGGTGCTGCATCAGCTAGTCTCCTTCGTGGGGTTCTCTCCTTTAGTACCAATCTTAATTCTTGGAGATTCTAATGTAATAGATCTGTAGAGGGATAGATCTCCAGCTCCTAGATCCCTTTTCTGGAGAAGGTCTTTCCTCATTGGTGAGACTATGTAGGGAACTGGGGTTGTAAGATATATGGAGACAGTTTAATCCTGTTTTATTTTAAATTAAATCTCATAACTGTGTCCAGAATTGATATGTCTTTATGCTCTATGGAGCTTATTCCAGCTCTAGTTGAGGTCAATATAGAACCCAGAGGAATATCTGACCGTTCTTTGTTAGTTAATTTAATATCTGGCTGTCCAGAATCTAATACTCCATGGCGATTGAACTCTTCTTGAATGAAATTGTTCCCCAAAGAAGATCCTCTGTCTTCCACTATTGAGGTATGTTTTTTTTCCTCAATGTGGTTCTACTTCCCCAGGGGTAGTATGGGATGTGTTTAAGGCTCTCCTTCGAGGTTTGCTTATCCAAGAAGTCAGTGTTATCAAAACTGCCTCCTTGGAGAATTGGAACTTGCCAAGATGGAGACTTATGCAGGCCATAGACAGGTCGTTTATCGGCCGAATTTTCGTCCGCACAAAAAAATCAGCCAATAATCACACCGCTAGTGGGGCCAGCCCGTCAGTGGTTTTTTCATGGATCGCCTCATTTTATTTTTATCGGTTATATGCTGGAAAATCCACGAAAAACTGATGTTTTTCGTGGACATTGGTAGTCGGTAGCATCGGCAACGGGGGCTGACCGATTTTTCGTTTATCGGCCGACAATTCAGCCGATAAATGGCCCGTCTATGGCCTGCCTTTGGCGGCAGAAGTTAACTATATTTTGAATCCTACTTTAGATAACAGACTTGAATGGCTGTCTTCTTCCCAGAGAAGGCTCAATGAGCTGAGCTGTTGGAAGATAGGGCCAGGAATAAACAGGTTTTTTTTTTTTTTTTTAGAAGAGGTTGATATGGGCTGAGGGGGAGGCAAATGGTAGGTTACTGGCTCAAATAGTTGAATCCCAATCTAACCCCAATAATGTCTCGGCTTTGAAGAACAGGGAGGGGGAGATTAATACTTGGGTAGGCTCAATTGTGTCTATTTTTCAATCATTTTATCAAGATTTGTATGCTTCCAAGGCTGACTATACATGGCTTGACCTGAGCACTTATGTTGCTACTATCCTCTCTCTATTCTGTTGCTTGTAGATCAAGAAGCACTTGATGCTCCGTTTTACTCTACATGAATTGGAAGCTGTTGTAGCTCATTTCCCCAATGCTAAAGCTTCGGGGGTTGATGGTCTCCCTATGGAGAGTTATAAAAAATATAGTACATTATTCCTTCCAGCTCTTCTTAACCACTTCAGTACAAGGCACTTTTACCCCCTTCCTGCCCAGACCAATTTTCAGCTCATTTTCTCTTGCACTTTGACAATTACTCAGTCATGCTACCCGTTCATAATTTTTTTCACAGAGCGCTTTATTTTGGTGGTACTTAATCATCACTGGGTTTTTTATGTTTTGCAAAATAAACGAAAAAAAGGGTGAAAATTTAAACAATTTGGCAAATAAGTAAATTTTCTTCATAAATTTAGACCAAAATTTTTACTTCTACATTTCTTTGGTAAAAATAACCCAAATCAGGGTATATTATTTAGTCTGTGTGAAAGTAATGCAGGCCATAGATGGGGAGAAAAACGGCAGATTTTTCTTTTAAAAAACGAAAATTCGGTCGTTCAAGCGGCCGACGTTGCCATCAATGGTAAAAAAAATCGGCCGATTTTCATCCCTTCTACAGCCAGCAAAAAGTGTCCCTGAAGAGAGCTCTGCTATTTCTGACAGTTCCTTGACATTTACAGCGGTTGAAACATTGTATCTATTTATTTCCATTTAGGATACAGATGTTTTTATTCGGAAACAAATAGATACAATGTTTCAACCGCTGTAAATGTCAAGGAACTGTCAGAGAACTGTCAGAAATAGCGGAGCTCTCTGCAGAGACACTTTTTGCTGGACTGGAATTATTCTTATTTTCATCCTACTTCTTCTTCTTCTTCTTCATCCTCATCCTCTTCTTCTTCATCCTCATCTTCTTCTTCTTCATCCTCATCTTCTTCTTCATCCTCATCTTCTTCTTCTTCATCCTCATCCTCTTCTTCTTCTTCATCCTCATCCTACTTCTTCTTTTTTTTCATCCTCATCCTACTTCTTCTTCATCATCCTCATCCTACTTCTTCTTCATCATCCTCATCCTACTTCTTCTTCATCATCCTCATCCTACTTCTTCTTCATCATCCTCATCCTACTTCTTCTTCTTCATCATCCTCA